TTCCCTTGATCCGAATTAATTTTGGGAATTAGCTCTATGACTTAATCCGGATCAAGTGCAGTTAATTTTAGAGATAATTCCAATTTAATGAGTTGATCCGGATCAACACTGCCACCTTTCTATGCTTTAAGAGACAAGAAATTGGTACATAATGAATGCGCTACCTTCATAACGATAAAATTTGTCGCTACCCTTGCCATCCTTTGGATTAAAATTTACCTCACCGTGACGAGGTTGATATGTGAAAGTAAATAAGTATGCACATTTTTTTGCTTTGGAACTAAATTCAAACATCTCGAACTTTACTGAACACTAAAAGCCTTCAAAGTAGCTTAGCGCAATGTTCTGGCTGTCATAGTCTCCTTCACAGGATTATGTCGAACAAAGAAAAACGTTTGTAGATGTACAGAGATACATCCATCGAAAACCCTAAGCTTTTTCTAAAGAATTCCGTTCCGGTAATGCTAAATAATGCACCTTTCTTCCAATCTAATTCAAATCTTTCTACGTTCTTTATTGGGGAAGGCTAATGGAAGTTTTATGACGCATTAAACGACGTTTGGGGGCCATCAGTGCTTTACATTCAAAGAATGTGTCACTTTCGTCATAGCAAAAGTAAGTGCTCAATTCAAACATATCCCGACACGTTATAAGATCTATCACGAATATACATATATCCCACGTGATACTCTACTAAGCATTTTCATTGCCAAAATGATCAAAGAGTGAACGGACGCGTCCAAAAAACTGCATCCTGGCTCAAACTAAAATATTCGATTAGCAGTGATCAGCACCTATTCAGGATTAGAAAGGCAAACACAGCTATTGATCTTTAAACCACGATTTTTTTTAGAAAAAAAGAGTCCTATGCGGTGGAAGGTATGGCTGTCATTTCGGAGAACCCCACATCCCCTCATCAAGCTTTGCTTTCCTCTCGTTCAATTTTGATTGGTTTTAAATTGTACATACAAATGGAACCTCGTCAAAATTTATGTCGACTAGCGATGCCGGATCGTAGATTTGACTATGCATTTGGTAAATCGGCCAGACGTCTTGGCTTTTGATGCCGAAGTTTCTAAAGAAGCCCCCAAAGAGCAGACCTAACGATTCTAATGCGGGTCAGATGACTGCAGATCACATAACTGTTGAACAAAAGCTTAGCCATGCCATCAAGGCTGGATAGTTCAGATATTGAAAGCTGAGTGGTTATTTTAAAAGTAATCTTTGGGGATTGAGCTAAAGGTAAAATTTTTTAAAACTGAACTCATTCACGGGGAATAATGCTTCGTATACGACAGCTTTCGATATTATTGTGGACGTACTTTTACGCAAGCCACCAATGGAAAATTTATTCTCTTGGCTATTTGTCATCGGTCAAAAAATATACATAAATGGTTATGATTTGCTCAATATTTCAGATAATCCATCTTGTCAAAGGACTAACGTAGTGCTTTTTTCAGTCGCTTTAGAACGCTCACTTCGCAGATCCAAAAAAGTTTGTTTCTGCTTTGCACTCTGACAGCTGCCATTTATTCTGTAATGGAATCTCTGTCGACATGCGCTCTCAACTACTCAAAAAAGTGGTCGAAACTTGGTCTTTCAAGCCGACAACATTTGAGGCTTATACAAATCTGATTAAGTTTAGTAACTTTCGTCAGGGTTTTTTACCAATCAAAACACCCTTTATATATGCACGTAACTTTTTATGCAAACAAATAAATATGCCGTTATAGTTGGTGCAGTATTTGAGCTGCAATTTTTCGCTGTCGTTGGCGTAATCCTACGTTTTCATGTTGAAATATAGACATTTCTGCATTTGCAGTTTTTGCTTAAAATTTTTTTTATATTTTTTTTTATTGTTTTTATTAGCTTGTTTAACATGTCCAATACATATGTTAGTATATATATATTTTTTTTCAAATTTTTTAGAAGCTTGCTTAAATATCCATATACATACTCTCAGCGCACATACACACAAATGTATGAATTGTAGGTGTGCTGTTGTTTGTTTTTGTGTCTGCAGCTCGTCGTTCGACGCTTGATTGGTGCAATGTTACAGACATTTGTTATTTGTCTCATTTGATATTTTTGTTCGTTGTTTTCTTTGTTGTTTTTTTGTTGTTGTTATTTGGCTTGCCATTTGTTTTTCGTTGAACAAGGTTTAATCGCTTTTGTTCTTATCTGCCTCTGACAAATTATTTTCCAGTAGAGAATTTTTTATTTGTTACTGGAGTCGTGTTCAGACATTTGTTTAAGCACAAATTTCAATGTTTTTGGATAATCTGTACTTGTTGTATATTTGAAGTAATTTTAATGATAAATGTACACTTAAACATCTGCTTACATTGCTGATTTAATACAGCGGGCAGTAACCTTCATAATACCGATTTGACTTCTAAAATACGGCAAATAGGATTCTGAAGAATTAAAAAAAATTATTATGTTTTGGTGCACCAGGACGAATAAGTATTGAAAATGTCCTTTTAAAACTTTATCCTTGAATATCCTTGGAAATTTCCAATATTTATTTTTGAAAAAAATATATATATCAAGGCCTAATATGTAAACTACCACATTCTCGAATTTCGTCCTTCTACCTTTATTAGGTTTAGATAAAAAAAATGTTACACTTCTCTTATAAGATATCGATAGTTACAATATACATAAATGAAGATGGGAATTTGCGAAATTTTTTCGAGTATTTTACGTTACTTTTCGGAACATGTCCTGTTTAATATTTCGGGCGCTATTAAGACACTTTCTGAGGATTCTTCGTGTTGTGTTTTACGGGGTTTTTCGTAAACTTAAGCTTTTTTGGGATTTTTCTGATTACTTTCAGGTACTCTTCGATATACTTAGCACTGTACGTTTCAGGACTTTATCGGTGTGTTTCGGCACCTTTCGGGACTTATTCGTGATTCAAATTCGATTCAGGCCTTTTTGGAATAATTCTGGATTTTTTCGAAAACGTTTTGGGTTATTTATAAGCTTTACATTTCAATCCTACCTTGGGCTCTATATAGATCGTTGTTTTTTCGGCTAAGATATTCGTTGTGACTTCTGGGCTAATAACACTGCGCGACAGTCCAAACTAGCCCGGACTTTGTTATACTTTCTGAAAGTATACTCATCCCGTAATAAAACCCTCGATGGATATGGAAAAGTTAGCTCGTATTTTTATTTTATGGTCTACTAAATTTTTCATGTCCCGACCCAAGTAGTTTTCAAAAAAGTGGAAAAAATGGCTAATGGTCTGAGCGAAATTAAAGGTTATTACACAAAACACATTTTAAGCCATTAGCACTCGCCTGAAAGCGTCTTTTTGACCCTTGCTTCAAAAAGCTCCGTAAAAGCTAATTTAGAAGATCGTTAGAGGATTGATATATTCTAGAAATGTGTTCTTCGGTAAATTTTACTAAGGATCTTCTCAGGCAAAAACTTCATGTCACTAACATAAAACATAACATAAAAGAAGGTATAACAGCCAAAATCAACTTTAAAAAAGTTGTTTATAGAAAAACCAAATTTTTTACTAATTTTTTGTTAAATTTTTTTTTAGAAGCTACCGCTAAGGTGTGTTACCGCTACCAGAGCAGCCGATTTCATTGCGAATTATACTGATTGTAAAAATTATGTGTTTGTTGTGCTTTGATTTTGTTCTGATTTTCATTGCGAACTTGTATGAATTCGCCTTAATCTGTACGATGCACAACCAGTTATATTTCCGGATCTGATTTTAAATTTATATCTGCCTTTTTTGAAGAAGGTGTGGGATATGTAAGCGACGGTTGTGGACAGCTTTGTCAATTTTATCCCACACAATTATTTGCGTTTGTCATTTTCACAGTACAGCTTCAAAAAAAAAACGTAATTCCTACTTTATTATTATATTACGAAAATATTCCATCGAAATTGCGCAGAACAGCTGCTGATTAAGAGAACTGAATTAATGTCAAATATTTTGCAATTAGTATGTACTTAAATACACTCGCTTGCCTGTGTGTAAGTGGCAAATATTTGCCTAAAGTCACTTAACCCTGCTGTGATAACCTACGTCTACCTTCTTCGAAATTAATATATTTCTAAATAAAATGAATTATATAAAAAACAAAGACTTGAATACTTCATATATTTGAAACGAATTTCATAAAATTTTGATTACCATAAAATTAAGGCAAGCAAAACAGGATGCGTACCAGCAACTTTCAGTAGGCTTTTTAAAACGGGGCTAACCATCATTCAAAAAATGCAGGTGAATTGAAAATTACACTTTGATAAGTGGATTTAAAGTCAACAGGTGGGACATCCGTTTTTTTTTATTGTTTATATTTCATATTTGGACTAACACTTCATGCAAACAGATATGTTTCTATGTATTTAAAAGCAATATGTTAGTAAATAAGAAGGCAGTGAGCAGTAATTCTGGTTATTATCAATGAACAAAAAAATCTATGGCAAAGCTTTATGGTTTTTCAGCAAAGCTTTGATAAGTATTCGTTCAAACGATTATAGAACGATTTTTTCTCCTTCTCTATCAATTTAAGAAAATTTAATTTATAGTACTAACTCATACCTATTTTTGGACATTTGTATGTATCTACTACCTATAAGCATACATACATACTCAAATGATTATGATCTGTCATATGAAGTTTCAATTAGCAAGTCATTTAGACCGATTGGAGGCCTAATGTATGTATGTCCCTGAGGCGGAGCACTAGCAGAATCTTTACTGATGGGCTTCAAAACTAATACAGACACTTCATCTGGAGTACATATCGAAGTTAGTGGAGACTATCTTTACTTCCCGCTTGTGAGAAATGTTTTGCTATTCCAATCCGAAGTATCCTCAAACTTCAAGGGCATGGCCTATGCGGTGCAAAATAGGTGGAGAGGAAGATTTTTATTTTAAGATTTAATTTAGACTATTATTAGATGTATGTGCGCATTTAAAAAGCTGCTGCTAATTTTCATAATCATTACTTTTTCTTAAATTTCAGAAGCGCCCACAATAAGCCATATGTCAACATTATACACCTTCCTTCGGTAATTCAAGACAAGCAGCAAAACGGTAAACATGTTTATCTCAACGAATGAAAAATTAAAAGTGAATTGTTCATTGCAACGAACTATTTTAAAATATAGTAAAATTATGCACCTGGAATTACTCGTATTATAAAAACAAACGTATGGCATTTAAAAATTCAAACTAAAAAAACAAAAACAAAATTCGATGAGAAATTCCAAATTTAACTGCACTTAAGTTGCTCATAAGCGCTGCGGTGAACAAAACAACGGTATTAAATTCATCATACGCCGTGTGCTCCGCTGGGGCACACGCCATTCAGCACTCAGCTGAGCCAAGCAACTGGCAAACTGGCAACTGGCAAGTACGATAACCTTTAGTGGCGACGCGTAGCTTACCGAGATTTTCACACATCAAGAAACTAACGGAACACGTACGCACCCTCACTGGCACAAAAATATACTCACAACATAAAAGAGCAGCTCACATAACGCACGCCGATAACTGGATGAAAAAGAAACGAAAAATGTCTGAGGTAAGTGGAAAAAAGTTGGTTTTCCTTTCCTTTTTGCGGTATAATGCTCGCAAAGGTATGTAAATGTGTACGTAAGGTATGTATGTATGTATGTATGCAGATAAGTATGTATGCGTGTATATAAGCGAGGAAACAAATAGTAATCACAGCCATTTTTTTCTTTCGAGCATTCCGAATAAAGTGCGTGTTATGCTTTCGAAAGTATGCATTTACGTAATATTTTTTTTTTTGCTGTAGCTAACGCACTATTCTTCTTCGTTATCCTTCTTTGCGAAATGTGTTACTGAACTAACTTTTTATCGCTCCTGGCCACTGGCATTCTCTCCACGGTATTTCTTTTGTCACTTTTATTAGTCAATTTTTCATTTTGTCTAACAAAAACTTTCTTTGCAAATATTTTCCTGATGGAATTCCATCGTAGGAAAAGTTTGATTGTTTGTGGTAATATTTTTGCGGCAGTGGAAGTAAATGAAAATGGCAATGAATATATTTAGATTGAATAATTGGATTTCGCCAGAATAGAAGGCTTAAAGGGATTAAGTCGAAGGGAAGAATTCCAAAGGAAATTATTGGTTTTATTAGCTTATCTAGATAGTTGCTTATTCTTAACGGGGAAAAGATTCAAAGAACTAAAAGTAAAATAATAAAATAAATGCATGGAAATTTTCAAATTCTTATGCCCAGTTTCATCAATCAATTTCAAATTTATCAGACTGTTAAATTTTAAAGTAACACAATTTTACATTATATTTATCGGGCCATAGCATAAAAAATAAATAAACAATTTAAATTTTTTTTTTTCGAAGTCGGGAATGCTATCGATAACACAGGCCAACAAAATTTAAACGACTAAATTATTACAGCCGATTCTTATAGGATTTTTTCCCGTAGAATCTGAATCTCACCGTAAAGATTTTATATTGGCTGTAGTTTTCGAGCAATTTAGGTTTAAAGATACCGAAAAACGCATTTTTGGACATTTTTGAGCCTCTGTAAAACAACAAATTTATGCAATATATCTGTCTGTGTGGGAAGATATGAAAGCCCAAACACTGCCCTTTAATATTCAAAATCAAAAAAAAATTTGGTTAACAGGTCCATACTATATACTGCACATACTGCATAAAATCCTGCACCACCCTTTGAATTACAACTCAATGGATTAATCACCAAATACCGATGGACACTGACTCTAGCAGTGGAAATGAAGATGAGGAAGACACCTTTAAACCAAAGTTGCTCGAAAACTTCCAATCCAAAAACTTTACGGTCAGATTCGGATTCTACGGGACAAATTCTATAAGAATCGGCTACAATATTTTACTCAAGAGAATTTTTTTGGGCAGTGTAATCGATAAGCAAAACAATATCAATGAATTTGTCGGTATGTGTGAGAATATATATGTATAGAGCTATCGGTAAATATATGTAAATATGTATGTATGTATTGAATACCAAAACCCATTTTATACACAATTATCGAAATGGAATCGATATCAATAAATCACATCAAAATAATTTTATAGGCAAATATTTATATATATCGATTACGAAGATAATGATGAAAATATCGATAAATGTAAAAAGCACAATAAATTAAGTAAGTTTGCCCTACAAAATGTAGAAACATACATACTCCTATAGGTCGATAGGTACACGAAAAATATTGTAGGTATCGATAAGATAATCGATAAAAATATTGAATAATAAAAAATAAATACACACGTTTTACTGGTAGAGATATGCACACATCGATAGCAATAAATACTAACCGATAACATTACTTTATTTATCGAAGCTAATGAAGTCTAAAATCAAAATTAATAATAAAATACTTATATATACTTGCGCTTAGACTTTTGCTATTTAGTGGTTGGCTGTTGTTGCACAAATGGTGGGACCTACAATTTTACGCTACCTCCAAACGGCAAATAATTATATGGCTCAAATACACTCGAACGTTTGCTTTGACCAGCGATCGAACTTTGGTTCCGAGGAGCCTAGCTACTCGACTACAGCGGCCGCCATAATTTCTCAAAAGAAGGTAAACAAAATTTTTACAAAAATGTCAATTTGGAGACTACACGCACGAAAAAAATCAACCTTGCTTTTCTCCTGCTGGTACATCAAGTTCCCATTGAACGTATAAGGCGTACTTTCATAAACTGAAAGAAACCTCTTGATGCCGAAAGTCATTAAAATCTTACGAACCTCAAAATTTAAATTCCGGAGTTCTAGTTTTTTGAATTCAAGATAATCATGTAATTCTACCGTATTTTTCTCTGTGTACATATGTACTATAAATATGTATGTATTAGAGGGCTGCATGAATGCATTCAAAACGGCTTTTGAATTATTCATATACAAAACGAATGAATAATTTTGGCTTAAATTTTTTTTTAATTTGAGTGAATAGATGTTCTGATATTTGTGTCGACATCACAATATTGAAACAAAGTGAAAATAAATTGCATTGAAATAAATGACAATTTTATGTATGAATATCCAAAAATATTTTTTCTATGCACATATGTACAAACATACAATTTATGTATGTATGTATTGCTGCGCTCCGATTACATACGATAAAAATTGTTTGTAGAAAAAAACTTGTACCGAACTGAGTTTGAATGATTTGAATGTTTTCCATTCATTCATTCACATTCTTCCATTTGAAGGTAGTAAATATAAAACAAAATGCATATTCATAACTTACAAAATTCCAAACGCTGAGTGTTTTGTATGTGAAGTAAAATATTCAAATCTACTGTACTCTGTTTGGCTAGAAGTTTGAATGAATTCATGCAGCCCTCTAGTATGTATGTAAATCCATAACTGTTTCTCTGCACAAAGTTTTATCAGCCAAGACGCTTCGAACAAATTTTCCTAACAAAAGCTCTCTTGTCAGGATCTATTGCTGCACTTTTCAAATTCACTTTGTTAGATAGTTTTCTTTTATACTATGAACCGACAAATCTTTATGAAAAAAATCTTTAATTCAGTCAAAATTACATAAAGTTTTTTTTAGCACAAACTACGTATGTATGTATATGCTCCACTCCGCAACCAACCTTTGCCGCCAAACGCGCAAAAATTCCAGCCAAACACACAAAGGGCATTAAAAGTAACCAAACTCTAATTAAGAAATAATGGCCGACAACTAATTAACACAATAAAAAATTAAAAGTGACAAGGGGACAAACAAAGTTACGCCAGACAAACTTTGCACCAACTCTCTCTCTCTTCGGATAAGCTGCGCAGTCCAAGTTGGCGACTAACAAAAAAAAAAATTCTGAGAAGAGCGTCAAGAGTTAGCGTAGTATGCGGCAGTAAACAATCATTAAAAAGTAATTAAACGAGAAAAAGTTAGGTACTAAATATAAAGGAACGCCACAAATATTCGCAAATATTTGTATTTGTTCGCGGGGGAGGTAGACAAAATGAGTAAGTAATCACGCTTAATTGCCTGTGACCACAATGAAAATTTACATAAAATTAGGGGGGCAATTTTTGCAAACTACGAGCAAGTAAGTAAAAGTTCAAGCAGCAAAAACGCATTTGATAGGAATATTTTGAAAGAACTTTCGTCACACGTGGCCACAGAATAAGAATAGTGAAAACGAACGCAAAATAAAAGTTTTTTATTACAACGTATCAAATTGAAAAGATAAACAAAAAGCCAATCAAATATCGGGTGCGTCGGCACTTGGCAGGCAACGAACGACCTCAACAGGTGATTGATCAAATCCACTATTAAATAAACAAAAATACTTAGTTTGCGCTCTTTTTAGCAATCGCGGCACTGCCAAGCGGTGTACTCAGGTATACAAAAAAGTTCAATAACCTGCCAAGTTTAGCTACAGTCATAAATTAAAAAATTTACACAAACACGATTTTTGGACTGGGAAAACAAAATTTGAACTAATTGCCATTCATTGTGATACAATTAAATACTACATTGGACTTTAAATTTTTTATAAATTTATGTGAGAGATATTGAAATTTAAAAACAACCTCAACTTTAATATTACTACCTACGCTATTTTTTCTATGATAAATTCCAGGAACCGTAAATAACAGTTACATTTTTTTCAACAGCTAAACTTGGCCAGATATTTTTAAGTCGAAAATAAAAGTCCTTTTCTAATAATAAACACACCCCTTATCCAAATTAAACAAGTTTGGTATCAACTGAAAGAAGACTAAAATAGCTTTACAACTGAAATATTTAAACGGGGAAAGCCAGCTATTGAAAAATATCTAAATAAAAAAAGGTTTTTTAATTACCATAGAACAAACCTTGGGTCAAGTATATGCATTTCTTTTGTATTAAATTACGAAAAAAAGAATATGCATTTCTTTTGTATTAAATTATACAAAAAAAAAAAAATATAAATGGTACCAAATTTGTTTAATTTGGATAATCGGTTTGTTTACTGTCCGTAAAGACTTTTATTTCGAACTTAAAAAATATCTGGCCAAGTTTAACTGTTGGAAAAAAATAACTGCTATTTACGGTCCCTGATAAATTCTTTGATCGTGATCGCCAAAACTTTAAAAACTAATTAGTCTGCTGAAAATGTTATTGTAGTTAATTTACTAGTATTTTGGCCTGTTTCTAGATGTAAAAGTTCGGATAGCTTAACATTAAAGAAAAATATGAAAAGTCGTCAGTTGTCTAGAACTGTTGCGAAGAACCAGGGAACAAAAGTAACACCGTGGATCACAAACAAAAAAAAATCTAAACACAAGAAGCGTTTAGTTTTTTAGTTTTTCCCTCTGACATCAGGATTTTTAAAGAACTTTGCAGTTTAAATATACGATTCAGAAAAATATTTAAAAAATTCAGTGCACTGTAAAATAACAACGTGGGTGCCAATTGTGAGAGAAAATCTGGAGAATTTAAAAAAATGCCATTTTAAATAATTTTTTTTTAATCTAATAAGGTATGTGGTCGAGTGTATATTAGCCCTTGACAGATAATTTTTTCAAAAATAATT